TAATAATAATAATAATAATAATAATAATAATAATAATAATAATAATAATAATAATAATACCTTTCTTTTACCCCAAATATTTGGGTTTGGAAACATTGAAGGGAAATTTAATAAACTTAATAATAAAAGAAGCAACGAAGTTGTTGGTTAGGTCTAGTAGTTAAGGCACCAGGCTAGAAAGTAGGAGAACCTGAGTTCAAGTTTTGCCTGAGCCGCGAAAGTCAACTGGGTGATTTGGAGCCAATCGGCAGGAAACAGTGAAACCTAGTATCACCTTAGGCATGAAAGCCAGCTGGGTGTCTTTCGACTACCAGGAGTCTGTGAGTTCTAGTCCCGCCTTAGGCAGGAGAGCTATTTGGGTGACTTTGGGCCGGTTCCTCTCTCTCGGCCCAGCTCACCTCACAGGGTGGTTCTTGTGGAGAAAACAGGAGGAGAAAGGTGAGTTGGATGTGTTCATCACTTTCGAGTTGTTTTAAAAAATAATATAGGCGGGATACAGAAAAATAAAAATAAAATAAAAGTGCAAAACTCTTTAGGGAATTAAGACCCAATGGTCCAGCTCTGTGGAATAAGTTACATTAGAAAAGAAAAGTTCTAGACAATGACTTTTGCAATTAAAAAAAACCCCAAATAGTCTCATGTCGTCTTGAGTCCCTCATCACCCCAAAACTAGCCCTTACATGCAAGATCGCCTTTATTAATCTCCTGCTTACCCTATGTACGTAGTGGCTTTTTCACAGAGGAAACCCCATTCCTCACTAATACTGACGAGGTTACCTAGTTTGGTTAATGAAACGTCTGCAAGAAAACCACTCAGTTCAGAGAGCAACAAGGAGCCCCCACAGATTATACTTAACACACCAAATGTCCCAAGACGTGGTTTTATAAGGACTTGTGCCATGAAGGGGGTGCCCAACTCAACCCACTGATGCTCTAGAACGGCCAGTTCTCAGACTGGCAGCTCCAACACGGCCCGAGACTGCCAAATTAGAGAAACCAATTTGCAAGGAAAAGATTTGCTAGGATTTTTAAAAACCTTTCTTTCGAAAGGGGTGTGTGTGAAAAATGAAACCCTTTCCATGAACAAAAGAACATCCCCCATCGCCAATCAGCCTCGTGGGAACTGGAGCTTTGCCCAGAACAGGGGAAATGAAAAGGAAAGGGAGAAAAAAAAGGAAAAGGAAAGAAATGAGTTGGTTTTTTTTTTTGCTTAGTTACAAAAGAACCTCAGCAGTTGCTGTTCCTCTTCTCTTCACGAAGAGTAAAAGAAAGGAATCCATTATTTTATTTTATTTTATTTTATTTTATTATTTTATTATTTTATTTTATTATTTTATTTTATTTTATTATTTTATTATTTTATTTTATTTTATTTTATTTTATTATTTTATTTTATTTTATTATTTTATTTTATTATTTTATTTTATTTTATTTTGGGGGGGCAAATTGAAAACCACTGCCCTGTCTCTGCACCCCCAAAATAATCAAGGGTTATTTCTTTTTTCTCGGGAGTGATTTTGTGGAGGTTTTTCTACTGAGGAAGGAGCTGATAAAAGGTACTTGATAAAAGGTACAGGCAGTCCTCGACTTATGACAACTGACCCCCAAATTTCTAAGCAAGGCAGTTGTGAAGTGAGTTTTGCCCCATTGTTACGACTTAGTTAGTCACAGGACTGTTAAGTGAGCCTGGTTTCCCCTTTGACTTTGCTGGTCAGAAGGTCGTAAAACAGGAACCCCGAGGATGCTGCGACTAATATTGTATATTAATTTTTAAAAGAAATTTTGAAAACAATTAAAAGAAGAAAAAAGTCGGAGGACGTGACCTCCATAGGCTTGGAACTTAACTTTCCACTTCTTTTAAAGAAAGAAGTAAAAATGACCAAGGTAATAATGAGTAAAAACTGTCGTTAAGTCACAGTTTTGTTAATGGTGGCCTGATGCCAGCACAGAAACCCAATTGAAACGAAGAGTTACTTCATCGTGGTTAAAATTACAAACGCGCACACACACACACACAAAATTCCTGGATTAAATTTAATCCTGCCCTACTGCATTCAAAATAACAAGCTTTCTTTTTTTAATCTCGCCGACCCCTTTTGTTCGGAAAGACTTCTAGCGAGGCCGTTCCCTGATAAATCCACTTTAATTGTGCTAAAATCTTATTTACTTTTGCAGCAACAGGTCTGATAAAATGACCAGTTCATGCTTCTGTGTAGCTTTGTCCCGTTCTCTTTTTTATTTTAAGCTCTGAACAAGTAAACAGAGCCCGAAAGGTACACGGAGCTGTGTTATTTCAGCTCGGTGCTGCTGTTCGTATAATTGTCAAGCCCTGTATTATTTTTTTTTGCAGTTAACAATATTCTCATTCTCCCTCCCCCCCTCCCCCCCTCTCTCTGTCCCTCTCTCTCTCTCTCTGTGTCTCTCTGTTTCCCTCTCACACTATCTCTCTCTCTCTCTGTGTCTCTGTCTGTCCCACTGTCTCCGTCTCCCTCTCTCTCTCTCACTCACCCTCTCTCTCCGTTTCTCTCTCACTCTTTCTCTCTCTCTCTCTGTCTCCCTGTCTCTGTCTCTCTCTCTATAGATATGTATGTTCTTAAGTGCAAAATCCACGTAGGAGTTTAGAGCGAAACACATCCCCACACCCACACGCAGACACACATTTCCTTACCCTGTTGGCCGTCACTGCAAGGTTCTGCAGGTTCTGCAATGCCCCGATCTCCGCCGGTATGCAAGTCAAGAGGTTGTGGCTGAGATCCAGATAGCGAAGTTTCCGGCAGAAGAAGAGCTGGGTGGGCACCTTCTCGATCTTGTTGCGGTTCAGGTAAAGGCGCTCCAGGTTGGTCAGGTTGCCGATCTGCACGGGGATGTAGGCAATTTGGTTGTACCAGAGCTTAAGGCAGGTGAGGCGGTGGAGGTGCTGGAAGCTGATGATCTCCTCGATGGTCTTGAGGTTGTTGTCTTTGAGGTCGATCTCCTGGAGGTTGTGGAGGCTGAAGGTGGAGTGAGGGATGCGCTCCAGGTCGCAGCGGATGAGCTCCAGCTCCGTCAAGTTGACCATCTTCTTCAGGCTGTTGAGCACCATGAGCTTGGTGCCTTCGTTGTTGATGGACAGCTTCTGCAGGTGGACGCCCACGTCCGTCACCACCTGGGGCAGCTTGGTCAGGTTGCTCTTCAACCTCAAGACTTTGAGCCTCTTCAGCTCCCGCAGGCCGTCGATCACGATGTAGCGGTTGTTTTCGGCACTCAGGTTCCCCGTCAGGTGAAGTTCTCCCAGGTTCTTCAGGCTGTAAATCCACAGGGGGATCTCCTTGATGTCCGTGAACTTGATGTGCAAGGATTTCAGGTTCTCCCTCAAGAAGGCCAGAGCCGGGGCCTCGATTTTGGCCGCCGTGTGGTACAGCCAGAGTTCCTTGAGGCTGGTGAGCTGGGCGATGCTGGGCGGGATGGTGACGTCGGGAATGAGCTCCAGCTTTAAGACCTCCAGCTCCACCAGGTCGAAGACCGTGTCGGGAATGCCACTCAGCATGAACAGATGCAGCTCCAGCTTGTCCTGGGAGTTCTTGGTGATCCGTTGGCGCAGCTTCTCCAGCGTCCACTCGTTGTTGAGGTTCAACTGCCGGAGCTTGTTCTCACTCACCTCCGAGAGGAAGACGGCGAAACGCTTGGAGTAGAGAGGGTCATATTGGTCGATCAGGTGGAGCATGAAGGCGAAGTCGTTCTTGACGTCGGGAATGTCGCTGTAGCTGCTCTCCTCCCGGATGGACTCGAAGGAGTACTTCTTGAGGGATCTCCGGAGCATCCACCAGAGGGTGTACATGCAGATCAGGCCATAGAGGACCACCAGGCTGATGTAGAAGGACGCCAAGATCTTGAAGAGGGTGGCCAGCGGGTGAGCGCAGCGGTACATGCGGTAGCCAGTCAGGCTCTCGATGTCCACCTTGCAGTCGATGTCAAAGGTGATGTTGTTGACGTAGTAGACCGTGTAGCAAATGATGAGGATGAACTTGATGACCTTGATGATGGTCTGCCTCATGTAGAGGCGGTAGACAATGTCTCCTTCTTCCACATGGGTCCGGAACTTCTTGACCTTCTCGAAGAGAGCTTTGGCCTGCTCCCCTTCCTTCTTGTCCAGGACGCCATTCTCCGTGCGGTCCACGATGCCTTGCTCGATCCGAGACTTGGTCCTCTGCAGCATCGGGGCGGTGGCCTCCACATCTTCGCTGACGTTGGAGGACTTCTTCTCCATGGAGCCGTTCATCTTCCCAAAAGCCGGCTTAGGATCGCTCTCCTCCACCACCGTCTCAGACAGAGCCCGCGTGGTCCACGGAGAGTCGAAGCACTTCAAGAGGATGGAGACGAAGTGCTCCAGCTTGGAGCTAGTCCTGGGGAACTTGAACCAGAAGTTGCTACAAGCCAGGAAGATGAGTGTGTGCAGCAGGACGAGGTAGGGGAAATATTTGGCAAACCAGTGAAGGCGGTTTTCGTAACACACGGCATCCACATAGTTGTATTGGTGGCGGTCGAGTTCGTACTTGATCCCGGTGGGCCCAGGGTCCAGGTTCGTCCCCAGGGAAGCATTATAGTAACCGGAGTCCATGCTTGCAGCCGTCCATTCGCGGGAAGAGTCGTTGCAAACGTCTTTGGTGACCCATTTGCAAGGCAAGCAAATCATTTTGTCCTGGGTGACCTGGAGAGTCCCACCAAAGACTGCGATCATTAACATCACGATGGAGATGTAGTCCGTAAAGACGTCCCACCAGGGCTTCAGGATGCGGTACGCCGGCTGGGTATCGGCGAAGTAGCGCAATTCCGTGACGGGAATCATGGCTCACCTGCAAGAGAGAGAAGTCGATCAGCAGATGTGGCCAACATACATGAGGAAGAGTTATTTGGCTTTCAAAGCGCTCTGAATCCTGCTGGCCACATTTATTAATTCAGCACATGGCATAAAACAGGGGTCCATAACCTCCAGGGCCCCTCCGGGCCTTGAGCAGGCCATGGAATCGAGCACATGTGATAGCACAGACTATCATGTCAGCCCTAGTTCTTCTCATCACTCCTTTATCGCCCATCCCCTCCCACTTGTGACAGTACGACTGTAACTTTGTCGCTTGTATCCTTACAATTTATATTGACTGTTTCCTAGTATGATTTGATTGCTTATTGTACCCTGTGACTATCATTAAGTGTTGCACTTGATGATTCTTGACGAATGTTTTTTTTTTTTTAATGTACACTGAGAGCATATGCACCAAGACAAATTCCTTGTGTGACCAATCACACTTGTTCGATAAAGAATTCTGACAGGAAGGCAGAAGGTGCCATCAAGTCCAAGGCGAATGCTTTGAGCTGGTTTCCTGTTTCACTTAATTACGTTTAATTAAAGAATCCTGAAATATACATATATATATAACTGAACACAAGTAAGGCAGATTTTCCAAGGGAGTCAGGCGAGTACAGAATGCTGCAAACATTTGCAGTGATTCGCAACGTCCCACCGTGACGGGGTTGCATTTTTCGCTGGTTTTGTTGCAGCTGGCATGTTCTGGGTTTTGGGCAAAACCGCAGCCTTTAGCAAACCATTCGTTGTTCACTCAACAACCACTGCCAAAAAGATTGTAAAATCAGATGGGTCATGTGAAAAATCAATTTTATAACCGTAATGGGCAAGTTCCATTATGGCCATAGATCAAAGACTACCTGAGTTTGATTTTCTTCCTGCAGGGGGTTATTCATTTCACCTCCAGTTGTTGTTGTTTTTTTCTCTCAGGGATGAAGACACAAAAATTAAAGCAAAGCTATCTAGGGTCGTAAATATGCATTCAGCAAAATCGAGATCTGTGCAGTTTTTTTGTTTTTGTTTTTAGCAGCCGGCTGCAAGCTTCCCTTCACCACCCAACCCTATGTCAACCTTTATACATCCCCTGAAATTAATCACGGCTTTCAAAATTCAGAAGTCCTACTTCGAATACAAGGGAAGCAAAGAAAACTGAAGAAAAAAAAACCCATGCAGTTTCAATCAGCTGACAAGTCTGGCCAAAGCCAGCCTTATTTATTTAAACTTACGACTGCAGGAAACGCGTTCCTTTGCATGACCCAGATTCATTTTTCGGCACAAACGATTTCAGGCAAGTGGGAAGAAAGCTCTGAAAAGGATCTTTAATTTCCAAGGTCCAAAGAGAGCAACAAAGAGTCTCAATTATATTGGCTGAAAAGATTTTTCGACTCAATTCGGTGTCTGGATAGTTTGACAATTAGTTCCATTCATACAGGGAGTCCTTGTCCTAAGCGAGACAATGCATTTTCCCCATCTGGTGGCCTTCCTTGCCCCCGTCGTTAAATGAATCACTGCAGCTGTTAAGCCAGCACCCCTTAGTTTAGCCCAGCTCTACAGAGCTCTATTCAGAAGCAAGAGTTTGCAAACCCAACTGTTCAAGCCTTCTAAATTTGGGTTTGGTGGTTCATCTGAAGTTCTTCCTTAATTTTGCCCAATTTCCCAGCTGGAAAATCTTACCTCCTGGACACTTGGCAGATTTCAAAAGGATAAAAAATTTTGCCCAACAATTATCTGATTTATAAACAGGGCTCTCCCTTTCTCTCTCTCCCTGCTAAAGCTGTGGGTGGGCTGTTTCTCTCCAAAAATGAGAGCTTTTGAAATGCAGCTTTGTTAAGATTTTTTTTTTGTTCCAGAACCCAAAAGAGACATGGTCAGAAGTTCTCAGGCCCTAAAAATTCAGCCTGGTTCATTCTATTCCTTTTAGTTTTTTTCCCCTCCCAGGTAAGGATTTTGTAAATGTTTTTTTTTTTCCAACAGAAGAAAAATCTCAACCTTCTGAGCAAAGTTTTCTCAGAAACAAGCAAAAACATGAAGATCTGGTTGGGGAAAAACTAATAAGGAAACCAATTCCCAAGGTTTTCAAGCACTGTTCTGAAGCAGCCACAATCGCGGAATTGTGCACAGCTATCCTTAAAGAGGAAGGAAAATTCAAGGATGTGTTTGGAAAGCTCCAGAAGGCAGCCTCCGGAACACCACTTAAATCGACTTTGTATTTTCCAGAAAAGTATGCCCTGGTGACTCCTTGCTACACAAACAGTTGTTGTTTGTGTGGCCAAATATCACTATTTAAATCAATTAAAAAGATTCTAATGCTGCATTCAAGCCTGTGTTGTGCTCTTAATGGAAAATCACTTTGGGCTCCTTGGTGGTCCCTGAGCTCCGTTTTCTTGCTGACGTTTCATAACCTAAATAGGTTGCATCATCAAGAGAACGGGCTTTGCTTTTAGCACTGATGATGTTACCTAGTTGGGTCATGAAATGTCTGCAAGAAACCAGTCCTCCGTGACTTACAACCATTAGCCTAGTGACTGTTCAAAGTTACCGTGGCACAAACCATAATGCTTTGCAAATCACAACCACTGGGCTCCTTCAAAAGCTAAAACCAGTGAAGAATTGTTACGTGAGAGCCTGGGACGAGTGCTATCAAACTTGGCTGGCTTATTTGTGGGGCAGTTTGGTGTGTGAGTATGACATGTGAGCCCAGCCAATGGCTAACAGGGACTGTCAAGAGTTCAAGACCCCTGTAGAGATTCAACTCGGCTCCTTGTCTACAAACGGACGGCGTTCTACCTTGCACACTTTTCCAGGTTCTGATGCTCAAAATAACCCATCGGGTCTACAAGCCCCAGGATTCCTAGCCAGGACGGCTAACGTGTTTCAGAATAAAAGAATTGGAAGGGACCTTGGAGGTCTTCTGATCTAACCCAGTTTCATTTTGATTTGTGCTGATTTCTTTGCATGTTTGGGCTTGTAATCAGTTTAACGTGGATTTTTATTCCGTTTTGCTTGACACACCACCCAGACTCCACAGGAGTTGGGGCGACTGTAATTATATTTAACAATAAACCGATAAATAATAATAGAAAAAGCAGAAGGATGGGCCAAGCTCTTCCTGATAAGGCTGCTTTCCCTAGTAAATCAATAGGTAGGTTTGCACCTGATGCTACAGTCGGGATGGATTTGGGTTAAGCAGAGAAAACATGTTTCAGTTCAGTGCCAAGCGATGCAAAATGCAAGCTAAATGAAAAGCCCCGTTTCCCCCTTCCTGGAATTTGACTGGAGAGGTTACCCTTAAGGTTGGCGCAGAAACGGGCAGCCGGGAACAAGGCACACCGGTGCAATGACACAGTCCCATGAGCCAGCTGTGCTGCGTGTGAGTGAGGAAAGTGCCAAGTCACCGTGATCTTGTGCATTGTCCTTTCAAGGGCAGGATTTTGTACAGTTCAGCAGTGAAAGGAGAACAGGTGTGGTGCAGGACAGGCACTGGGGTGGCAGTGGAGGCCAGGGGGCTTCCCAGCATTAAACCAGGATCTGTCCCAAGTCCAGCATTCCTCCCCCACCCCAACAGGGCAAGTGATCTTCAGCTCTGCAAACTTAGTGAGAAATGAGATCTCCAACTTGGGAGCGCCGGTGTGTCCTTCAGCTGAAAAATATAGGTAGTCCTTGACTTGCGACCAAAATTGACAAACCCCCCCACCCAAATTTCTTTATGTTGACATTTTTCTGCTTTATTTGGAGAGAATAAATCCTTCCTTCCTTCTTTTCTCCTCCCTCCTTCTCTTTCCCTCCCTCCCTCTTCTCTTTTTCCTTCTCCCTCCTCTTTCTACTGCCTTCTTCCTTCTCCCTCTTTCCTTCCTTCTTCTCTTCCTCTCCTTCCTTCTTTCTTTTCCCTCCCTCTTTCCTTCCTTCTTCCCTTCCTTCTCCCTCCCTTTCTTGTTTCTTCTGCTTCCCTCCTTCCTTCTTCTCTTTCTCCTCCCTCTTCCTCCTCCTTTCTCCTCCCTCCCTCCTTTTTCTCCTCCCTCCCTCTTTCCTTCCTCTCTTTCTCCTCCCCAAATTCCTGTTGTTCTGTTAAACGTCTCACTTAGCAACAAAAATGTGGGTTTTTTTTTTTGTTTTGCAACAAAAAAAATTGCATTTTAACGGGGCAAATGAAGGAAGTGAAGCTGCTGATGGGATCCCTGCCTGCCCCACGAATTATAGTTCTAGGAAGGACAGAGCACAACTTCAGGGTTTCTAAACCCTGAAGACTTTCGCTTATTTAATGGATTCCGTTTTCTCAGGTGCAAATTCTAGAAGGTGGGAATCCTAAAACCCAGCAAGTATGACATTCGAGGCGCTACTTTTTCCCCCGGATTGCAAAATGAGGGAAAGGCCTACCTCTTCCTTGCCCTCCCCTCCCCCTTCCCCCAAGCAGTGTGCTCACACCTTTAAAGTTGCAATACAGGTTGCCCATGGCTTATGGCCATAACTGAGCCTGGAAGGATGGTCAGAAGTCATTCGAGTCGTCAAGGAAGCCGGGTGACCAAAAGTCAATTTTCTGGACTTTTTCCACAGCCGTCGTAAAGCAGACCCCTTCATTTCAAGTGGGACAAATGCCAAGAGTAAAATAAGCCATCATAAATCATGGTTTAGGTGTCCTCCAAACCTGATCTAGCCAATAGGAAATGAATGACATGATCGTGGTGGGGGGAGAGGTCATTTATGACGGCCTGGGTATTTTATTCACTGCAAAGCACCCGTTCTGTGGCTGTCGCTAACTGTGAACGGCCGTTAACGGAGGACTCTCTGTATTGCTTTACTGGAGCATTCCTTCGCCTGCGCTGCGGTTTCAACTTCTTTAATGAGCCGCTGTTGCAGAGCGCGCGCACACACACACACACAAACACACCCACGCTGAGATGTGCGAGAAGAACGAGAGCCGCTTTGCACCACTTGCAATATTTTGCCCTCCGTGAGGTGTTAATAGTAGTCAGTCATTAAGAAGAGGAGCTGAGATTTCCTCCACCCCGAGCAAAGCTACGCGCAGCCTTCAATCTCCAGGAAATACAACAGGGGTTTTTTGGGTGTGGGGATGGCAACTTCATTTCCAAGCTGCAGAACCAGCTTCGCAAAGAGCTGAAATAATGGATGATTCCATTAGTCTAGCCACAGGGAGGTGGGGGAAAATCTTGGGGGGTGTTTCTTGCCACGCTGGGCTTAAGCGAATCCCTGCAGTGGTTAAAGTTAGTAATACAGTTGTGAATGTGACTCCTGCAAGACCTGTGCTGGTCAGGAGGTCGCCAGAGAGGGAATCACACGACCCTGGGGATGCTTGTGAAGGTCGTAAGTGTGAAAACGGCCCTACTGTGACTTCCGTTCTATTACCATACGTCTCTTCCACCCACGGAGGGTTTGCTCGCCCCTCCCCCCCCCATTTTCTGGATTCAAAGAAAGGAGGATGGCCTTACCAAACCGGTCATTCCTGGGATGGCCCCCCCCGTCTCTTCCCCCCAAAAATGGTTGCTGGATTTTCTTTTAATTCCTCTCTGCTATCTGCACTTCAGCAGTCTGTGCTGGAGTTCAAAATTATTGGCCCGGGAGTGATCCTGAGTCGGGAGCCGGTCTCCAAACGCCATGGAAGTCGTTTTCCTGAAAGAGAAACCTTTCCGTCAGGGCTCAATTTTCAAAACTAATGCTCAAAAGAACAACTATAAAGCAGGGGGTGATTAAACTTTTAAACTTGAAAGTTAAAAAAGTTCGCCAAACCGCTTTGAAATTCCTCCAAATCCTGAATATTGAAAATATTCACTAGCTATAGCGAAAAAGTCCAAAGCTAACTTCCCATCTCCCAGGAACAGATTAACCACTTATAAGAAATTTCTGGATTTACATTGTTCTCACCCTCAACCTTAAAACAATTATCTCTATAAAAAGAAGCATTAAAGCCAATTTTACATCTGTTTACTTTGATTTGAATTATCAGAACATCTAAACTGTTTTTTTTCCCTTTTCTTGCCCCACCTGTTTTAATGATGATGTTTTATGACATGTTTTTGTTCTGTCATTTATTTCTGTTCTATAATCCTCGGGAGATGTTTTGGCATTGAAAGGGGCAAACAGCAATAAACGCATAAAAATACATCAATCCGAGGCTTTCTTCTTGTGCTGAGATGTGAATTCTAACAATGAAAACCTCAACAGGTTAGGAAGGCTCTTTGCGAAGAAGACACTGGCAGCACAATACAACATCTTCATCCATCAGGAGGAATCTAATCGCGTTTTTTTCTGCCTCACCAATTTTATTAAACAGATTTCTGATGCATCTGATTAACTCATCTACACTGTGTGGAAGCTTCTGCCTTCTATTAAGGCAGGAAAGTTGAGAAGATGCTAACGGATTGATTTTTATTTATTTTTTGCTCCCTTAGAATGGTGGCAGCTAAATTTGATAAATAAAAATATACTCTGCAAAATTATACACCCCGTTTCTGACTCCTAAATAACCCGACCAAAAAAAAACTTTCCCCGTTCAATTCCTCTTTTCTGACACCTTTCAATAGCTGCCCTTCCCCAGCAACCAAACAAAGGAGAAGCTGCAAAATGTGCATGTTTCTTTTTTAAAGTTCCCGGAATCTTCTATCTTGTCCATCTGCACCCAGATCAGCCTTGTTTATTTTCTCCATCTTGGTCTTAAAGGACATTTTGGCATTTTTCCTGGAATGACAACACTCGGCTATGTTCCTCTTTCCTTCCCTCCCAACCACTCCAGGGAGAGCATCACCCCAGATGAACCAGCGGAAGGGATGCACAGACAATTTGCACAAGCGCACGCTAGGCTAGAATTGGTGCAAAGGTACCGGCAGCACCACGGAGGGCGTCTCCCACAACCCAGCCTTTTGAAGTAAAAACAATGTCGGTTGGAAGCTGGGCCGGAAAATGCAAAGTTAGTCACCTAGTTGCCCCCCTTCTGCCTTAAAACCTGCCTACACCTACCTTTATTTTCGGCAGCCAGCCAGTCCTATTTGCCTTCACACATTCCCTCCATCTTTTTCCTGCTCCACCCAGTTTCACCTTTCCAGGTGACTGGATTAAGCACCCCCCCCCCCCCCCACAAAATGCCTCCAGGTTTGGACCAACTACAAAGTCAAACCCTGCCCTGCCGCAACCCAAGATTTTAGCTGGGCCGGACTTTCCTTTCCAGCTCTTTTGCCTCCTTTCCACTCTCAGGGCAGGGACTAGTAACATGGCCAGTCCTTTCCCACTTTGCCAAGATTTCCCAATCTCTCCTTTCATCTTTTGCGCACACACACACACACACACAGCCCTCCTGGGCTGCCCCAGGGATCTTTCCTACCCCACCCCACCCCAGAAATTCCTAAAATGCATTTGGGTCTCTGGTTGCACCTTCTTTGCAGGATTCAAAAGCCAAAGGAGGGAGGGGGGGAGGGGTGTGTGTGGCTCTCTGACCTACCTGATTTTCTCACCCCCTAACCCTCTGGAAGCCCCCCTCCCCATTAGAATCAGTCAAGCCCGCCCCCCCATGTTTTAAGTTCATGCCTTTTTTTTGAGTGCTCCCCCCCTTCTGACGTACCTCTTCACCTAAAGTGACTCGTTTGGGGTATTTTTCTTTCTGGGGTCGAGCCCACCCAGCCCCCAACTCTTTCCCCCAGCCTCCCTCTCTGGGTTGTTGCCCGGCCTCCCCCTCCTCCAGAAGCCCACCCCCCCAAATCTGACCTCCTTGGCAATGCCATAAACACCCCAGCCCTCCTCCCTCCGTGGCCCCCCCACCCCGTCTCCCCCTCCCCCCCTCCCTGCCTCTCCCCAAACTCCCCACCTGCTTCCCCGCAGGGCTCCCAAGGAAGCCGGTCCAGAGCCCCCTTTGCCCATCCCCAGCCTGGCATCAAACCAGCCAGGTCGCTAGTCCTCTTGAAGGTCTGCCTCCCGCCCATGTGGCTGGGCACAGCAGGCCCCCCTCTCCCCACCAAGTCCTTGCCTGTCCAAACACCAAGTCCTTGCCTGTCCAAAATCAGGGGTCCCAGGAAACCAGAAACGTGGGGAGGGGGGAAACGCCTCTTCTCTTCTATTAAACGAAGTTACTAGTCCTCAGGGGTCCTGAGCCTGCACTGTTCGGGGGGGAGGGGGGCAAAGAGGGGTGTCTGCGCGTGCGGGGCTCCCCCCACCCCTCCCTCCTTCTCTTCCCTCCCCTCTTTTTGCCCCCCTCCCTCTCTCACCCCCCCCCGTCGCCCCCTGCCCCATAGCCCCTGAGCCAAGTTCCTAGTCCTCAAGCTTTCCAGGTCTGCCCTTCCCCACGGGGTTACTGCTCCCGTCTGCGGGGAAGTGTGGGGGGGTCCCCCCTCGCCCCCTCCCCTCCTGTCCTTCCCCCCGCACCCACCTGGTGGCGCCTCCCGCGGCGGAGCTCCGTCTTTTGTCCGCCCCTCAGTCCCTCATTGCACCACTCCGCGGCGACGCCCCACCCCGGAACTGACCTCACCCGGCCGGCCTGGGCACCCCTCGCGGCGGCGGCGATGGAGGCGGCGGCGGCGAAGAGCGAAGACGGCGCCAGGCCGCCACTAGACGGCGCCATTTTGGCGGCTGGGGGCGGGGCTCCGGCGCCGTGACGTCGCGAGGAGGGGGCGGGGCGGACGCCGGCGCCATCTTTGGAATGGGCAGAGGCTTGACGGGGAGGCCATCTTGGGCGAGGGCGCCAAGTCATTCCCTCTGAGGTCTGTCAGTGTGGGGGATCTCGATCAGAGCGGATCTGGAAGGGACCTTGGAGGTCTTCTAGTCCAGCCCCTTGCTCAAGCAGGACGCCCTATCCCATTCCAGACAACAGGCTGTCCAGTCAATTCTTGGAAACCTCCAGTGATGGTGCACCCACAACTTCTAGTGGCAAGTCGTTCCACGGGTGAATTGTCCTCACAAAACAAATAAACAAATAGACAAAAATAAATAAACAAACAAACAAACAATAAGCAAACAAATATTAAACAAATAAACAAATAAATAAATATGCATAAATAAATATGCACAGGGACCAAGGGGCCAAGATCAATAGTCTTCTGCAGGCAAGATTGGGGCTTCAGTGAATTCAGACGGATTTTTTTTCCTCACCTCCCTTTGCTTTGCAACCCTTCATTTAGTAACGGTTCCAAATTACAACAGCTCTGAAGAAAAGACCTACGGCTGCTTTTCACACTTAACGACCGTTGCAGCATCGTTCCCCATGGTCACTTGAGACTTTCAAGAATAGATTGGACTGCCATTTGTCAGAAATGGTGTAGGGTTTCCTGCTTGGGCGGGGGAGGTTGGACTAGATGACCTATAAGGTCCCTTCCAACTCTGATTATCTGGTCACGGGATCAAAATTCAGACGCTTGGCAACGGGTTCATACTTATGACCATGGCTATATCACAGGGTTATGACCTTCTGAACAAGCAAAGTCAATGGGGAGGCCGTACTCTTTAACGGCCGGGTTACTAATTTATCGACTGCAGTGACTCAACAACTTTGGCAAGGAAGGTTGTAAAATGGGGCAAAGCTCACTTAACAAGTGTCTCGCTTAACAACAGAAATTTTGGCCTCAGTTGTGGTTGTAAGTGAAGGACTACCTGTGATTTATAAGGAACTGGCTCAGTCCAAACTGACCAAACCCTGATTTGTGGCCAAACAAAAGAAGCACACACACACACACACACACACACACACACACACACACACTCTCACACTCTCCTGCAATTCACCCAACCAGCTGCAACTCACTCACATGGCTTAATGTGCCAAATGGAAGCGCATGGCCATCTCAAACACACGCCTATTTTTAAATGCAGCCAAGTGACTTTTCTGGTTGGCTGGCAGTTCTTTTATCCCTCCACTAGAAAAGGGGAACGAATCAGCTGTTGGAAGAAGCTGCTTTTCGGCTCAGACCAGGAAGGATGGTAGATGTCCTGTTGTGAGAAAGCAAAACTGTAAGTGTCTTTTGACCATTTTTTTGTGGCTTAGAGGTCTTCTTGCCAGCTGCGGCTTTCGGGCAAGGTTTCCACCTCTGGAATCACATGGTGGCTGAATTAATAATCCTCTTTCAAAGGTTCGGCTGTGATACGACAAATATACTATTAACAGAAAAGAGCATTTGTAACACAATGGAAAGAGTCAGAGGTCAATGGTTTTCCCTCTCTCTCTCTCTCTCTCTCTCTCTCTCACACACACACACACACACACACACATCCTGTTTCAGCCTTCTCTGGGAAGGAATAATTAAGTTTAATTTACCTGGGAAGCGTGTTGTGCAAATTTGGTGACTTTGTTGAAGCTTTCCAGAGCCAGTTGCAATAATCTAGATATGGCAGGTAAGAATTTGGTGGGTTTTCTATTCTGGCTTTTAGATTGCCTGGATTTTTTGCAGCTCCGATCTGGCTGATTGTATTGTTTCCTCTTAAGCTGTTTATTATTCTTTCTTGTTTTTCTCTCTAAGCTTCCTTTATTTTTCCTTTTGGGGTATTGTTTTGTAGGCTGGATAATCTGTAACTGATCTCAGGCTGGTTAGCGATAAGGGAAATGAATCAAGAACCTTAAGACTATTCAGAAAGTATAATGGTTAATCAGCATGTTAATCAGTTGCTACAGACCCAACTAAAGTTTCTCAACCTTGTCAGCCGTAAAGATGTGTGGACTTCAAATCCCAGGTCAGCCTGAGGAATTCTGGGGGGTTCCACACTTCTGAGACTGGGGGATTCTGGGAGTTGAAGTCTACACGCCTTAAAGTGGCTGAGAATGAGAAATCCTGGTTTAATTAGTACCTCTAGCCTTCTTGGAACTGCTGAAAGGACTGTATTGTAGACAGGCGAGAGAGGTAGTGTATTCCCCCTCTTTTGACATAGATGGGCTCTTTGGCCCCTCTTTTAAATCAATTATCCTCTCTAACTTTCCATCCCGCCCACACACATCCTGTCCTTCCATTTTCATCACAATTGATGAAGCTTCTTGGGTGAGAAGAGAAACCACCTCCTCCTCCTCCTCCTTCTTCTTCTTCCCCTCCTCCTCCTCCTTCTTCAAAGAAAAAAACAGCCCAGTTGCCTTTTGAAGAAGAAAAAAGAGCATTTGAGATCCCTTGGTATGCACAGAAGACTTTCTCCAACACCAAAGTTCAAGAGCATCCACATTTTTGTCCCAACTCCAGAGTAATTTCTTCTCACTTTACTAAACCAGGGTTAAACTAACAATGGTTGGTTGGTGTGCAAATTATGGTTGGTTAGTGTGCCAACCTGGCCTTAGAAAGGTTGAACCACAGGTGCCTTGTGGGAGGATATCGTGGCCAAAAAGAGGAATCCCAACTCAACCGTTGAAGCAAATGTGGGTTTTTGCTTTTTTTTGTTCCTGTTAACGGCCCAAATCCATTTCAAGAGGAGGAGATCTCACTATGCGGAGCATTAAACGTTTATTTTGTTTTCTTTTATTTATTCATGAAAAGGTGCAGAGCTCTCTGGACAGCCAGCTGGCCTTGTCGTGGCCTGCTTTTGATTCATGGTCTGTGGAGAACAACTCCGTGTTTTTACTTTGGCTACTATCATACCAAGGTAGGAAGCACAACTGATCGACCCATGGTTTAGTAGCTAGGATTTTTTGCCTCGAGGACAAGCCTCCAAACTTGGTAACTTTGAGATGTGTGAGCTTCGACTCCCAGAATTCCCTAGCCGGCTGGGGAATTCTGGGAGTTCATACATCTCAAAGTTGCCACGTTTGGAGACTGCTGGCCTAGAACATGAGGTTCCACACGCAAGCAGAGAGCTGGCACAGCCGGGAAAAATGTTTCCCTCCCTGCCACCTTAACTCAGATAGGTGCGTTGTAATTCCCTGCACACAGAGAACTAGCACATCAGGTGGGGGGGAAAATGCAGCCTTCCTGTCTGAGGCACTAACTTTCTCTTCATAGTTTTTCTGTAGAAATTGAGGAGGAAAGCAGGAAAAAAAAAAAAGCTGCTTTCTGCCCGGTCGTTTGGAATTGGGCAGCATTTAATACAACGTTATTATTCATTTGCAAAATGGAAGAGTTAAGAGAGGAGTGCATTGTGCAAGAGAGAGAAAATAATCCTGTGTCTGTTGCAGTTTTTGCTTAATTGTTTGTCTAAAGTCTGAAGTGTTGTAAGAAGATTAAGAATCAGCGGCTGAAACTGAGCAGGCTTGCCTTTCCACTGGGGCCATGTTGAAAGAGCCATGCAACTTCTTCAAAGTTTTCTCCCCTTTCAAAGGAGGTTGTGAAGTTCTCCCCTGTGTGTGTAAGAGAGTGTTTGTGAGCTGCTTCTGGTTGTTCTGGATGCCTGGGGTGTCTTCTGTGTGACACAGGTTTGTGTTCTTCTGGGTTGCTGGCTCTTTTCATTCCTCGATCTGAAAACAAAAACAAAAACCCAAACCCTGAGATATTTCCTGGTAACTGAAGCGTGGGAGAAACAGGACTTGTGCAACATAAGGAATTAACGCTTGCGCACTTTCCCTAGACAGAACACACTCAGAAGTTCTGTTGAATCTCTCTGGAATTTTCCTTGGCTCAGATTTCCTTCCAGGTTTTTTCCTGACTTTTCAGGAGGGCCTCTCCCTTGCATCTCTGAGTGGTCTCCTTTCTCAGGGTTACCAGCACTGGTTCGGCTTCCAGGGATCAGCTCCAGTTGCCAGAAAGGGAAAAACAAACTACAGGCAGTCAGTCCTCTGTTTACGACCAAAACTGGGGCCAGAATTTCTGCTGCTAAGCAAGGTGGCAGTTAAGCAAGTCACGCCAGATTGACATTTTTTTTAAAAAAATAAGGTTGTTAAGCAAGTCATTGCAGTTGTTATGCAAGTCATGCTGTTGTTAAGGGAACCCGGCTTTCCCCATAGACCTTTGTTTGATGAGGAAGATCACACAAGATCTGGGAGGATGCAAACATCTTAAAATACGTGCTCCAAAGACCCAAATGTTGATTATGTGACTGCAGGGATGCTGCAACAATCGTTAAGTATGAGGACTTTTTTCAGCACTGTCATAACTTTGAACGGTCGTAAGTCAAGGACTTCTTGAAGAGCCGGGACTGGTCAGCCTAAGGTATCGTTTTATTCATGATTAATGACTTTTTTTTTAATCCAGGACGAAATGGCCAAGGCAATTCAGGCTCGGCGGCTGGAAGGCCTGGACCAGAATATCTGGTAGGCAGTTTGTAATTTGCTTCTTTGGGAAAGCGATGGGTTAGAATCTCCCCGGGACCCTCTGAGGTGCCCAAAAAATCCAAATTATTTGTCAGAGTTGGAAGACATTTGCAAAAGATGTAAAATCATCCCAGTTTTCTCGTTCTCGTTTTTTATTACTTCATCATTAGACCAAAGTTATCTCAATTTTTTTAAAATGATTTTTTATCTCTTTAGGGTGGAATTTTCCCGCCTAGCAGCTACTCACAAGGCAGTGAATTTGGGCCAAGGTTTCCCCAATTTCTCCCCGCCAG